TAAATAACACCCAAAAAGCTTAAAGACCAAACATTCTAGAGAAGCCCACTGGGGACAACTAATAGATCTGGGAAAGGTAGTTTAGTTCATTTTACTGCTCTCCACATTGAGTTTGCATTCATTTGGCTTAGGTCCTATGCCTAAGGCTTATAATGATAGGAAAAACCCCGTTAAAATTGCCTGAGAATCATTTTAGATTATTCATGTTTGCCTTTTGTATCTTAATTGATTTAATTTACAGCACTTGATATGTATCTGTAGACATAAATATCAAAAAGGAAATGATTATATACAAATATTCAATGCTACTGTTTTTGTCTTTAGTTTATTAATCATAATTTGTAAAGCAGGTCTGACTGTTTTGGGACAGCAACTCCCAGGCACTTTATGTGATCAGTGACTTTAACTGGGAGATTGATGAGAAACTTAGGGTCTAGATCATCACTTAAAGGCATGAATTCACAATTCTGCCAGTTTATGGTATTCCCTCATAACTTTTAGGTCCAGTAGTGGTGGAACAGATTTCTCCGGCTGTGAAAAGAACAAAACAATGTCATCGGCATACAGAGCTATTTCATGGTCCTTTTTTCCTAAGGCGTAATTTATTTCTTATTTCTTTTTTAAAGCAGATAGCCAGTGGTTCTATGCTTACTGTATACAATATTCAATAGTCTACAAAAAAGGAGAATCTTCTGATAATAAAAACCCACCTGATCTGGGTGTATTATGGCTGATATATGGTTTAATTGATCTATTGACTAAGATTTTAGTTAAGGCCTTTAAGACGCTGCCAAGAAGGGCTATAGGTCAAAATGATGACAGGTCAGTTTCTTTTTTATCTTTTTTTTTCAGAATTAAGGAAATATTTGCAGTGTAAAATGACTGTAGTACTTTTTGGTTATTGGTTGACTCTTTTAACATTCTCAACAGTAAAGGGGCCACATCATCAGCAAATGCCTTGTATAACTCTATACCGATGCCATCAGGGCCAACTGCCTTGTCATTTGGGAAATCTTTTATTGCTGTAAGGTCTTCCTAGAGTGATATTGCTGCATTAAGCTCATTTTGTGCATTTAGGTCTAATTTAGGGAGTGGAAGAGAGTGCACAAATTGAAAGATATCTGCTTTGTTTGTAGGGCTTTGGGAGGTGTATAATTCTTTGGAAAAATGTCCTGAAGCAGTCATTTATTGTAACATGGTCTGTAACTATAGAGCTGGAAGGAGGTTTGATCTTATGAATAGCTCTGCTGGCTTGTGCACCTCTCAGCTGTTGTGCAAGCAGGGGGCCAGGTCCCTCTCCCAATTCAAACTGTTTATGCTTCGCTTTCACAAGCAAAGTGCTGACTTGCTTAGTGAGAATACTGTTGTATTCATGTTTTAAGTTTTATGATATCCTTCAGTGCAGATGAAGATGGAGCCTCTCTATACTGTGTTTCATTCAAAGTGAGCTGCTGATCTACACCGATCAGCCATAACATTATGACCACTGACAGGAGAAGTGAATAACACTTATTATTTCATTATCATGGTACCTGTCAGTGGGTGGGATATGTTAGGCAGCAAGTGAACATTTTGAACAATTGCTGAAAAAGTTCAGGCTGGTTCTGATAGAAAAGTGTCAAGAGCACACAGTGCATCACAGTTTGTTGTGTGTGGGGCTGTAGAACATTATTACCACCAGGGAAGCCCAGGTGTTATGGTTGATTGGTGTATACTGTACACTGTACTGCCAGATTGACAACTTACTGCTAACTTTTTCCTCTGCTACGCTCAGATTTTGGTAGTCACATTTCTGCCTGTCCATCATATGGTCCACTCAGAATTATAGTTTAGCTGACACCTCCCTAGATGCAGGAAAGGCATTTGATAGGGGAGAGTGGCACTATTTGCTTCCCACAATCATTTGGTTTCATTGATAAATTCATTAGCTGGATATGGCCTTTATGTACCCATCCCCATGGATTTCTTCTGCCCTGTTTTAAACCCAGCAGAGACAATAAGGACGGGACCGCCTCTCCCCGGATTTCTTTGTGCTAGCCCATAAACCTTAAACAGTTATTTGCCTAGATTCAACATTACATTATTAGGAAACTTCTGCTGGCCTCATAATGGTATTAAATGCCATCTTCGAACCTGTTTGTAGTCAATTTAAAGCGGATACTGAAAGATGCTCCATTCTCCTTCTGTTTCTATAAGGGAAAGCCAATGTTTTGTAAATTACATGTTCAACCATCTTCTTCAGGCACTTCCAGTTAAAGAACAGATCAGATTTTTCTGGAAGGTCAATCTCCCCAGGCTTACAAAAAACCAAAGAGGCATGTGGACAAAGGTGGGCTAGGCATCCCCAGTCTATTACTATACCACAACGTTTTTATACCACCACGTTTTTGGCATGAGGCACCTTGCCCACTGAGGCCCCAGCTGAAAGTTGTAGTGGTTCTCTCCAAAGAGGCTAAGACCCACTCCCACTGAATATGCAATGGATCTGTGGAACTGGAAGAGAATCCCACTCATGATGAAGTTTAATCCCCACTTAAATTTGGCAGCAGGTATCTGGTTAAGCTCCATGTTAAAAATAGACAAAAAACATTCCTTTGCAAGCAGTGGGTGGAGAAAGGTATTTTGGTAATGGGAGACATGTATGAAGGGGGCACCATAAAATAATTTATGGCACTGGTGAAACAGTTTGGTCTTCCTCAACAGCAGTCTTCGACATATCTTCATATTAGATGCCTTCCAAGTCCGACACCTTCTAACTCAGACGTCCTTTTCTGCCTCATCCACACCTCCAAACTCAGAAACTCTGTCAGATATAATTAACATATTTGGGAAGGGACATAAGGCTTTAACATACTATACATTCCCTCCTGTTAGTGACAGTGACGGTAAAGTCTCCAATCTGAAATCAGGCTAATCTACCAAACTTAATCTATCATTATCAGATGGAGAAAGGAATAACATTATGAAGAACTCTGGGAAAATTTCTAGAGAGCTTAGAAAAGGGCTCACCCAATTTTAGATTATAAATAGCATATGCTGGACTCCATTTGTAGTTTACTACACAAGGTGAAACTTAAGGACAGTCCAGGCAGTTGGAGGTGTGGAGAGAGTGATGGCATTTTGGTTCATATGTTGTGGTTGTGCACCATGGTGCAAACACACTGGTTAGCCATCCATGAGTACATCAAACTAATGATTAAACCAGATATCCCATTCTTCCAAAGTGTTTTTTTTTATGTTTTTGTCAAAAAATAATAAAAACTACTAGTTGCCTTGAACAAGGTCCCCTGTAATATCTCTCAAAAGGTTTTTTAAATGTTTCTGCTGAACTAGTAGTGGGAAATTGGAAATACCTGGGCATCGTCTTTCCCCATGTTTTGGCAGACTTTCTATCAAGTTCGAACCTCTTTTGAATCAATTAAAAACAGATATTGATAGATGGCCCCCTCTCTTCCTGTCTCTATAGGGGAAATCCAATGGTTTGTAAGTGACCAGTGCACCCAACTGCAGACAATATTTGTTGTACGTATTAGGCCATTATGGTCATAAGTGCAAATCACAGTGTGATGTTTGCATTAATGTAGTAAAGCACATTGTTTTGTCAGGTATTTGCTTTGCTGGGTTAGCCACAAGCTGTAGTTACAGCTTATGTCATGTTGCTTTCTGAATACCAATAAAGTCTCTGATAGTTAATAGGGCTGTCGCAGTGAAGGAATTTTCCTTGCTGTGATTTAGGGTGGCTCAACAGTGCGGCATGCGGTATTGCAATTTTATTCTTCTTCAGCCTATTCTAGGACATTTTCCCTTCTCAAAAAAAAAAAAACCTGAACATGACTTGATGGCATGATGTCACGTACGGTTGTGGCAGTGGCTTGCCATCCCTTGTGGTTGCGCTGTATTTTATTACTGCGGTTATCGCTCTAATAGTTGAATCTTTATAAAGTTAGTATTAATGTTGACAAGCTGAATTCATTGACTGAGTCTGTGTTCAGCAGGTGGGATGTGATAGTATTCACTGGTAATCTTCACAAGGCTATGTCTGCCTAATCTTGTCATTTGTGTGGCTCATGTAGTTCTTTTAACTTGACAAATAAGAGACCAACCATCTGCTTGCTGTGTATTTCCTCGTGACAATTTATTATGGTGCCGCCAATTGAAAAACTTTGTGGTCCAGACCTCATTACTCCAGATCATGTGTCAGTTGTCCTGTCTGTTGAGGCACTGGGTTTTGCTCTGAGTTGGCCAATGTGCTGAGATTTCCTCTTCCATAACTCCTGTTGTAACTCTATGAGAAAAGACAAGCCGACTATGTCCTTCTCTTTTCTCTGTCAGACAACCTTTACAATGATTTAAGAATCTAAGCCAATATGACAGTCAATTAACATAGTTTATTTGGCTTAAGCAGGCTCTGTAGTGGATTTTTATCATTTAAGAAAACTGAAACCCCCTAACCCTTATGTGATTAACCATCACATGAAACTGCCCTCCTTTAAGTCTAATGGCAGACACTAAAACAGTCGATACGCCATGGAATAACCCAGCAAACTTGTATTAGTCATCCACCAGAAAGTGGTTGTTTAAAGAGGACAGCTTTTCAAACACCTTGCAAGCAACAAACAGAGACTGTTTTCAACAGTCTTTAAAGTTTTATGAGCCTTCAGAAATCAGCCAGGACACATTTAAAATGATCCTGGCCCTCTTTAAATAAATAAATCCTGGAGATTTCTAACCACAGACGAAGAATACCTTATGTTTCTTTGGACCTCACAAACACAATTGAAGTTACTTCAGATTCTGAATAATATCCTGAGGTGTTTGAGTGCTATATGAGTCATGGTGCTTCAGGCTGATGTCCCAACACCCTGACAGACCCTGAGGAAGCTTGGTGTGTGTTTGTGTTTTCATACTTTTTGTATTTAAGATATCTGACTTCATCTGTATTGATCATTTTCACAGATTTAAATATCAGAAATAAATTAAAATTATTTTTCATGTGGCATAAATCCATACATCCTGTCCATCTCTGAATCTTACCTTAAATCATTTAGTTTAAATGTGAGTGTATAAATCTCATGTGAATACAACTTCTAATGTTTCATTTGAAACAAATGGTCCTCTATTGGTGACCGGATCAGCTGAGGACAGTGTAGTAGCCTGGTTATACAAGCCAGCCCTTTTAAGTGGAGTATGTCAACATCTTCTGAAATGTGCTAATACAGCCCTTGACATTCCAGTAAGTCTGCAGCAGCACCTTTAGGCAGTTAGCAGATATGATGTGCTAGAAAATCCATACGATTTCACTGATCACACAGCATGAGGACCGTTAAATGTAACAGCCAGAAGAATACGACCGACTCTATCCAAATAACGCACTGCTGTACTGCACCCTGTCCTGCACCCTTAGCATTTGGCTGTGACTCAAAGCTGTGGAGTTGACAGAAGGTAATCCCCACCATGTGAGGCCTCGGCCCCAGTTTGGAGGCGGGGTGTGATTCATTCAAATCTGCCGGTGCTATAAAAAGAGGGGAAGTTGCAAGTAACCCAACTTCAACCCACAAGATCGTGGCACAGCTCAAAACCATTCGGGTTGTTATTCTAAGTGATAATGAATACTATTAAAGCTATTAAAAATGCAATAGTCTGTCTTGTCTTGCTGCCCCGTTTTCTGATGGCAGCGGTCATGTTCTGGCTGCTTGACTTTCTATGCATAAGGAAAAGGGTTTTCTTCAGGACGAAGGAGCAGGAGGGCGATGTCATCGATCCTCCTCTGTGCATATCGGACTCAAATCGTCTCTTCAGCCTGGAGTCCCTCAAGGCAGTGTGGCACGGCCATAAACTGGACTTTCTAAAAGCAGCGCATCTCGGACATGGAGCGCCAAACACCGAAGTTGTACAGCTGGAGGATCAGCGGCGCAGCCGCATCCTCGATTACGCAAAAGACAAGAGACCGCTCATCCTCAACTTCGGCAGCTGCACCTGACCGCCGTTTATGGCGCGTCTGAAGGCTTTCCAGGGAGTCGTGCAGCAGAACGCAGATATAGCAGACTCTGTAGTAGTGTACATCGAGGAAGCGCACCCCTCCGACGGCTGGATGAGCACTGACGCGCCCTATCAGATCCCCAAACACCGGTGTCTGGAGGACCGGCTGAACGCTGCGCAGCTGATGCATCTGGAGGTACCCGGCTGCATGGTCGTGGTTGACAGCATGGAAAACTCCTCCAACGCTGCGTACGGAGCTTATTTCGACAGACTTTATATACTGCAGGAGGGAAAGATTGTTTACCAGGGTGGCAGAGGACCTGAGGGGTATCGGATCACAGAGCTCAGAGACTGGCTGGATCAATACAGAGAAAGGCTGGAAAAATCCAATAATCTAGTTATCCATGTGTAGATTAATTCTCATCTTTTTAGAGCTGCTATGACAAAAACAAAAATGCTGCAGATTTTTCAGTATTATAACTCCATTTAGATAGATTTTCTCCCTCAATAGTGTTTTAAGTGTATTTATTTTTTATATGGTTGGATCAAAGTAATTTGTTCAACATTGTAGGATGTACTACAGTAGGCTCCTTCGTGTCATATTGGACATCTATACATCCTGTTAGGATCCATCCACAAACAGGTTAGTTTGTTTGGACCTTGTTTGTTTGTGAACAAAAGTATTTTGTGTGTCAAAAGTTTTGGTTTTATTTCCTCTCCTCCTGTAAATGCGTCTGTAATGAGTCAGTCAGGACCTTGAGATGTGCGCATCACTGTGTTCGTCAGTATTGTTGTGAAGTTCGGTTTTTAAACGGACTGAATCCAGAGAACCGAGACTGATGTTTTTCATACTGGAGATCATGGTGAAGGTGCCACTCTCTACCCTGCATGGCGCTACTCTTTTTGTAAATATCGTTCCGTTTTATGGATATATTTTTCATACAATAAAATGTTTTGATCTACTCCATTGCAAGCCCTATTTAATTAATATATAATTGTGTAAGTTGCATTGTTGTTTGCATGTGAGGTGAGGAGCTGGTACGTTCTTCTTTTTCTGTTTGCAATAACAGCATGCTGTGTATAGATTTTACAGTAATTTCATCTCTTACAGTAAGAAGACAAAAGGATGAATGTTCAATTTCCTGCACAATAAAGCACAACAGGCCTCTCATGGATTCCTCTAGAAATCTCCTTTCTGAAGTGCATTCCCTGAAATTGGTGTGGAGAAGCAGGAAACATGAAATCAGTTAAGAAATGATAAGATTTCCCAAAATCTCCAAAAAGAAAAGTCTTTAAAAACAATTATTTGCATTATTTTAATGCATATTCTCCATTAAAACTGACTTATTCTCAAAGTGAAGAGCAAGAAAAATCTTCAAACGTATTTTTCCAAGAGCATTTTCTAATGTTGGCTTATTGTTTTAAATTCAACTTTTTTCTCAACTTAAACAAATATTTAATTTTCACACAGTAAATGCTTGTTCTTTTTTTAAGTGCCCTGCAATCAGGATGTCTGATTAGTGGTCAGACACTTTTAAAACCGTAAAGATAGTGATTGGGACTGTGGCGAAAAAACCACAGCCCCTTCCTAAGCCTTTGACCTCTCACAATTAAATGAGGATAATCACACTTGATCCTATTAATGCTGAGTGATATATCCGCCTATAAGGGTCTAAACACACAAATGTTTTCAGGGTTTAGCACACCGATCCCAGAGCAAAAAAACAGTGTTAGGAGTAAAGGCTGTAAAGAATTCCCCTGGATAACACACTTGCATACTGAAATATCTAACTCTCTGCAGTGATTTAGTACTGAATTATTGAGCCTTCAGCATCAACATACACTGAATACCATGAAAATCACGATGTAAAAAAAAGTACGCTTTTATTAGTTTTCCTGGAAAAGAATTTCATTGAGCTTTGTAGTCTTTGTACACCATCTAAAAGCGAAGGAAAATCCCTTCAGAAGCTTCAGATATGAGTCACGACGCGCTGAAGACACAACAGGGGGCATTGCCTCAGACAAAGATGACACTGGAAACTAGATAATAACACTAACACAACCTGTATATGGCACAACATCTTGCCAGATGCTTTGATTCCCTGTGTCTCCAGCTTTCACAATGCCATTATTCATGGTCAACTCTGGGACATAAAGCTGCTTCCTCCAGCAAGGAGGGAAAGTCACAACTAGGACATAAATCACTGTAGACACATCACAACAGGGCCTTAGACACTCAAATGTAGTGACAAAACAAGGATGCTCATTGTTTAAGTGTAATTTTACCAGAAAACAGTGCTTATGAATCACAGCTTTGAAACTAATTTGAGTCGGCTTGCCTTCTGTAGCTATCACTTGATGTTTGAAATTAGCGTTTGTTATAAAGTTGACAGAAATGAGAGAAAGCTTTTGTTATACGTCCGGAAAAAAGGATCTGTTTTTTCTTCCCATCTAAGACGTCCCAGTAAAATAGATCATGTCCTTAAAGTTTTTAGGCCCTGGCCATCCGTACTCTGTGTGGTGTCAGAGTTAGAGATCTCAGCTTCACATGCTCACTCCCTATTTATCCTTCACATATTGTGTCCACATATGAGAAGATAATGTCGTTGAGCAACAGCGCATAGCGCTATGACTTTGACACATTTAGTTTGCAGGAACAAGTCAACAACTTCTTTGGTACGTTTGTCAGAGATGTAGACATTTACACTACGTGAAACTCTAAAACAGTGGTTCCCAACCTGGGTGAGGATGAATCTGAGGGGGTCTCAAGACTAGAGCTGAAACAAATTCATTAAATACCAGATATTTGCTGGGTCTGGCTTCTCAAATATGAGGATTTGCAACTTTTCTATTTGTTATGTTTTAAGGGGTAAATGTCTTTGATTTTGGACTGGTCAAAGAAAACCAGCAATGTGAAGACATAACCTTGGAAACTGGGAAACTGTGATGGGCATTTACCTATTTTCTATACTCTTTAATGAATAGATTGATAAACCATTAAGGATAGGAAAACAGAAAAAGATTATGCTACACTTAATTCTTTTGTTTGTATAATCTTTTTTTGTAAATTCATAGATAATTTGACCTCTTCACGCCTCTAAATATCAGAATAAAGAAAAGAAATCACCTTGGTTGAACTGTTCATAGAAGATAGACATGCAGTAAGCGATGGGTCACAAGCCAAAAATGTTTGGAGCCACAGTCATAGAGAAGAGAACAAGTCCAGCGGCATTAGAAAATATTTAGCTGGTCTGACTGCAGGGGTTTTACAGTGACTTTACTGCTCATCTGGAACGCATTTAACACACAAACATGCAGTATCCATGTGGTGCTGAGGGCCAGGGGGTTAGGGGGTAGGGGTACCTGCCTAAATGAAATATGACTTGAAGTGTATCCAGTATGCATCCCTGAAAAGAAACCCCTACTGGAATTCTTTGAATCTGATTTTGGATTCTTTCCATATGTGATTTTCCATGGATGTTGAGTTTCATCTGTCAAAGGAGAGGCGGACGGGAACAAAGGGTTAAGGGTCTCAGGCTTGGGGAGGGGGCAGGGGGAACTTAACTTTTGCTGCTCTGTTTTATGACTCGGAGGAAGCAGAACGGGTCTGCTGAGGTGGATTTTTTTTGGCCTCTCTGGTCAGCTTTGAAGGTGAGGGCCCCTCTCTCCCCACGGTCATAACTCCACATGGTAATGTCTGGTGGTGGGGAGCTGGGGGCCCCAGCACACAAAAAAGGTTTCAGTTGGGATTCAGGTTTAAAGTGTTAACATTTAACCATGCTTTAAATGATCTTCTTTATACTCTCAAGCCTCTTTCAGGAATACAGACAATGTTACAGAACCAGGGCTGTTATGCATTAACGTTTATTCGGGAGCTTTTATTGGAGTCTTGGTTACAGCATTATCACAAGAATTGACTGGATTAACCGTGGTAAGAGGCGTTTAGTGCCAAGTTACAGCAACTAGAAAAGATTGTAATCCATATGCAGTCCATGCTGATTAACATTCAGTTTAACATTTAAAGTCTTTTTACTTATGTACCTGCTACCAGATATTACGATCGATTGGACTGTCAGAGATTTTTAAGGCTAGTTTTTGTAGGTCAGGGACACGCAGTAACACAGCAGGAGTCTCTGAGACATTTTCCAATAAAGTCAAGTCTGGAGTGAGAAATGGTTGGATCTAGTGCAGAAAAAACCCCACACAAATCGTCACTTAAATGGTGAACTGAAATAGCGACAATGTGGAAAATTATGTGTTATGTGGAACAAGCAGCACTCATCTTTGACTCCTATAATGGTCTTTATTGCTGTTCAAAAGACCAGTGAAATGGAAACCAGGAAACATCAGCTGTTCATTGTCTCACTGTTACAGTGATATATTGTTGTTTTTTGTTTTTGATTAGGATATTGGTATAAAATGACACTAAATAGAGATGTTAAATTCAACAATCCTGAAACCAGAGTTCAGAAATTGTATACATAGATTATTGAACTTTGAAGTGTTCCAAATATGTAAAAACAGTAGATTACTCATAATTAACATGTAGAAACAAAATGCAGTTTTCAGTGCAGCGAAATGCACCACTAGCTACATTTAGCCTTTCTCTTTCTCCTTTTAGACGGATGACACCTTGTGGTCGTACTCTGACACTACATTCTTTTTTTCAGACATTTCTAGGAGATTCACAAGCTCTCAAAATGTAATCCTGAAACACACTGAGCAAAAAAAAAAACTAGTTCTGCACTGCTCTCTGTAGGTTGAAAAAAGCAATGATGTGAAATCGAAACGGCTGACTCTTACTTATGCTGACTTCTAGAAATTCTATACTCATTTCATCATTGCTTTCCTGGTTCAGTAGAGTCCCCGTTTAATACATATCTGTCCACACAGGAATCCTGGTTAAGGCAAAGCCAACATCCTCAACATCAGACCTGATTTTTGCCAGGTGAAATGTAGTTGTGTGACATAAAGCAGGCAGGACAGGAAATGTCATTCACTTCTGTCCCTGCTCTTGCACTCACTTCAGTGTTCCTTCTCTGCTGCTTTTATTATTTCACCTTGTAGTTGTATAAACAGTATTTCTTGAATGAGAGGTCAGACCCCTCTCTTAAACTGGTCGGACATTGGAGGGTCTTATCAAGTCCTGTTTCAAGGTTAAATCAGCTTGAATTCTGCGCAGAGCATAAGCACAAATATGCCACACCCTGTTCATTATAGAAATCACTGGGTGGAGAAATCCTGTCTGACCGAGTCTTTCTCATTCTTATTAGTACATACTGTGGTTTAGTGACAGTGTGATTCCCAGCAGAGCTGCACCCAACTTTCACCTGAGTAGACGTCTAATCAGCCAGAGTAATTTAAACTTGTGGGAGCGTACAGAGAACATTATGTGATTTTGGTGAACCATACAAACTGGTGTCGGATTAAAAGTTCTGTATGGTGTTTTTTTTCTAGATTCAGAAACTTTTTTTGCACCTTTTTAAGATATAATTCATGTTTCCCTTATACTATTGTTTTATTTCTATTGAAAAATATAATGAAACAGCAGGCTTTAGGGAAAGATAGAGCTACCTAACCTTTCTTTCTCAGTTGTATTGTTTCCAATGAGATATTGCTTACGGCAGAGTGCTGCAGCTTCAGTTCTGGTGATGCAGATAGCTTGCACCACAGGGTGGAGACAGAGCACTATCTAAGACTGTCGGAACATTTGGGACAGTGGAGGGTTGCTGACAGAGTCACTGTTATCATTCAGTTGATAATCAGCGAGTTGGCCCTCGGGAGAAACGTATTAAGCATCACAGAGCAGGAGAGCAGATGTTCCACTGATTTCCGAACAGGTAGGTGGTGATGCATACAGCATGTGCATCGGTGTGATTTCACACTGGGAAACATCTGACGTGTAAGCCTTGCCAAGCATCTGATCTTGTCTTAACCTGCTTGTTGTGTCAAAACAACTGCA